TGCTTCCTGATTTATTTAGAACAAAAATAAATACAAATTTAAAAACAAATCTTATGATTTTTTTTTTCTTTTATTTTTTCGGTATTTGGAGTTTAAACTTGAAGTAGTTGGGAGAAATACTCATTGTTATGGAATATTTCCATATCCTAACCACGTACCCAAGGATCCTTAAAGATAATTATTCAATTATCTTAACAATATAAAACAGTAAGGCTGCTAAGGATAGAGTCTCTATCCCAACAGAAAGGAAGTTGAATTCAACTATAACTGGTAGATCTACACAAGCTCAATAGGTAACCCTTATAAATAAGAGGTTAAAGACCCCATGTACACACTTTTGACCTATTTACTATTGCCGCTAACACTGCGCACACACCCACGTTTTGGCTATAAGCCTATTACTGGTGCGCAATGATTGGAGTATTGGCTATAAGCCAATCTGGATACCTATCTCTAGGAAATCTTTGAGCACATACCATACGGTATAACAATACGGTTCTCTAGGACCAAACACTCATTTACCAATAATTAGGGATTAAATATAATATAACTTGAAATGTTCCCTGTGATAAACCAAAAAGTTGTTTTCTATTAAAGAGAAGCCAATTGAAACGCATTTTCATCTTTGCCTTTTTATAGCGTTTTGAGTTTCCAATCTGCTTGGTTGGCTTATTATACAACGGAATTTCTAATTTGGTGGGAAAGATATTTACAAGGTATGACTAATGCTTAACAAATATTACTTTAGTTTTTTAATAATGACGATAATGGTGTGATTATAATGATAATAATAGATATTATTATAGTTTTTAGTAATTATAGTAATTTGTCATAGTGCTTATATGTAGGGGTGTAAATGGGTCAGCCGGTCTAACAGGGGATTATGACTCAGCCTACATCAGGCCAGACTCAACCTATACCATATAGTCAAATAGAACATGCACGGACCTAAAAAAACTATTTAGAAAGCATATAATAGGTTTTCTTTTACATGTCGGGCTTATAAGCCAATAGGTCAACCTATATTATATTATTTATTTTCAATAAAATAAATTATTAGTTTAATGATTTTGAATAATAAAGTAATAGTATTTTAATTATTATTTTTAATTCTTAAATACCTAATAGGCTTCAATAAGCTAACAGGCCCAGAACAGGCCAATTTTTTTTTTTTTTAAATATAGGCCAGACTAGACTTATAATTTGGGCTTATACAAAACTAACAGATTAAAATAGGGCTAAAGTATTTTACACAAACCTAACATATTTAAGTCAAAGTCTAGCCCGACCCAACCTATTTACACCCCTCACTTCACTTATACGTAACACCTTTATATACTATTTTTGCAGCTGCCCCTTTTTTTTTATTTGGGAAATTAATATACACCTAATTAAGAAGTTTTTGTTTACTAAAAGTAAAAATATTAATTATTGAGTGATATATGTATATAAAATGTATATACATACGATGAATCTGTTATATTCAAGAATCAAGCTTAGGGTAACAATCTCAATCATTTACCTGACCTGAACTGAAGTAAAAGAAAGGTGGGATGGTAGGGCTCCTAGGTTTTAAGCTTCTTGGCCAATGGGCTTGTAAACGAAATTTAGTCCATAACAAAATCAAATACATAAACTCATAATTAACAGTTTAATATGTTAACTAACATAGGTAATTACTTTGGCTTTTTCACCCTTTTACCCCTTATTAATTAATTAATAACTATTTTGCCCCTGATTCGAAACTATTTATCAATCTGCCCCTCTTTAGTCGACTACCTTGCATTTTTAATCGACTAAATGGCCAAAACAGACAAAAAATGGCTGCTGGGAGATTTAGTCGACTAAATCTCCCTATTTAGTCGACTAAATCTTCATATTTTACAAAAAAAAAATAAGTCAGTATGATTTTAATCGATTAAGTAGAGAGATTTAGTCGATTAAATCTCCCAACAACCGTTTAGTCGATTAAAAATGCAAGGTAGTCGATTAAAGAGGGGCAGATTGGTAGATAGTTTCGAATCAGGGGCAAAATGGTTATTAATTAATTAATAAGGGGCAAAAGGGTGAAAAAGCCTAACTACTTTGATATATATGGGTTAATTATCCTATATTATAATTCTCTAAAATGATCTTAGTTACACTGACCGAGCATAAGGAATAATTATATATCATGAATCTTAAAAAGCTTGAAGAGAATATGTAAAGTGTTATATATATTAGCAATATAATAATGAGAAAAAAGTTTCCGATGTTACTTTAGATAACTTTATCTAGTGTTCATCGAAACGACGTCATTTTGAGATTGAAAAATTAAAAAATTCGAGTGATAAAAACTATTATAACCCTGAAATAAATTAAAATTACAAAAATACCATGATTTCCGTCCCAAAACAACGTCGTTTTAATGAACATTAGATAAAGTTATCTAAAGTAACATCAGAAAAAACAAACCTTTCAGGGTTATAATAGTCTTTATCACTCGAATTTTTTAATTTTTCAATCTCAAAATGACGTCGTTTCGATGAACATTAGATAAAGTTATCTAAAGTAACATCAGAAACTTTTTCCCCATAATAATATATAAGAAGTTACTGATCATCTTCACTTTGTATTTTGAATTGTGATTACTAGTTTACTACAAAGGGGAAGGTAAAAGAAAGAGGTCACGAGACAGTTATTTACCCTTTTTGGATTTCTTTGGAAAACCATAACCTGAAATCTTCCCTACATTCACTTTATTTAGCTTGTTAGGTAAGGTGGTCCTTCACAAAGAAATGGAAAAAGTAAACAACAACGCCAAACATTAAGACCCTCTTATCCTTTCAAATCAAGTTTATCACTTCCAATTACCTAAGCAAATTACTGAAATTCAGATCCAAGTTCAGATACACACCAATGGTACTCTATATATTTATATATAATATATTTCTTTTCATATACAAAATTCAAATAGCTAGGTTATGAAAGAAGACTAAAGAAGTAAAAAGCCATGACTTTGTATATAAATATACCAACTACAGTTTTCTGATATTCAAAGTGATAAGAGATCTGCAGAGACGACCCCCACCCTCTTCAAAAGTGAAGCAGAGCAATTGGTGTCAGAGATGGATGGCTTTTCCCGACTGAAAATGACAGTAGGTGGTACGAGCCACTCAAAAGAACCCTAATTTTTTGATATTACCAATTTGTCTTTTTTGCTGAGTTGGTATATTATATGTTTAATTAAGTTTTAAATTTACGGTAAAACTCCTTATATGTTACTAATAAAAAATTGTCAAGTCACTGTATAATTAAATTAAGATTTTTCATTGTATATATTTCAAAGTCAAGATAAATGAAAATTGCCTCAATAATAACCATTAATAAAAGATTTCGAATTAGAGTCTTGAGAATAGAAAAAACAATATTAGAAGAACCAAAAAAAAAAAAGAACAAAATTACTTCTCATGAAATCCCAACCAATGAGGGTGAGGTGAAGGTAATCATTTTATGTAGTGTTATCTTTCTATAATTACAAAGAGACTATTTCTTATCAAACATAATCATTTGAGAATGCTAGAACAAAAATAATTGAATTTAATATGAATGAGTTATCATCATAAGAGTTCAAATTTTTAAAAAAAGTAATTATTGAGAAAGATTTTTTTTTTGGAGTTACCCAACCCTAATTATCTCTTTGAGACGAGTTGGCTCCTTCCGGTATCCCCACGAGCTTCGACTCTTTGAGCCGGCTATGAGATTAATTCGGAGTGCGGGGGAACAGTGATGGCTAAAGGTTCAGCCCCCTCCCCAAGAATGCATTCAGCGGGAATCGAACACATATCCAACCCCACTAACTCAGCGCCAAGTTACCAACTGAGCTGCACCCATTGGGTATTGAGAAAGATTTCTAATCACTGATTATGAATACATGCTGATAAGAAAAATTTAAAGTGTTTAAAATTTTATGAAAAAGAAACACTAACAACATGAGTACATGTTATAGATATGTGTGAATGTACTTTCTTAATTTTCTCAGTGATTAATTACTATCTTACCTTCCTCGTTCTAGAATATCCAAATCCTTTGTACGAAGAAGCCGTTGTACACTATTTACACCGTTTTCACTCACCCTTTACTTCATGGCCCTTGGGTTAAAAACTTGAAGCCAAAAAAAAGAGAAAAAAGAGAACCATATCTCCCTAGTAAATTTCTACTTCAAAATTATGAGAACTTTTCACCATCATCACAAATTATTAAGCATACACATGTATTATTTTATTTCATTTTTGGTAAAGTAATATTAAGGGTTTAGTGTTTAGATTTAATACATCAAGAACTACTACGTAAACTTACTTTTAATCCCTGATTCCTTCAAAATTCTTCTGAGAAATAACTAAGCAGAACCCTAACCCTAACGATACCAGACAATCACAAACATATATATTATAACGAGCTCAAAAGTTGAATGATTTGACCCTGCTCTGCTTACGTTGCTTCAACATAATGGGGGGCAAAAAACCCTTAAATTACGTGTGTCTTGTCCTATGTTACTTACACTATTACTGTGTCCTTCTCTCTCACACAACCCCACTTCATTTGTATATACCTCTCTACCCAAGAACTTGGTCCAACACAAAATCCATTCACATAATGATAGAAACTGTGCAAAGTAAATCCAAGTTCTTCTGATCTATTTCTCAAACCACTTTCTTTTTCTTCTGTGATATGTGTTGTTAGTACTCATTACTAGTCTTTTTTTCCCTTCACAGAGAAAAATATATATATAAAAAGGGTACCTTGGGGGCATCACTTTGGACCGTTAAGTTGAAGCTGAGTGAGAAAAGAAAAAGTAGTTCTCATTATTCAGAGGAAGATAGATAGATATTTCTTCAGTGGTAGTGTTAGGGTGGTCCTCATTTCACACAAAAGCTAGGGCTTTTTTTTCTCTTTTTCTTTTTCTTTTTCTTTTTCTTTTTCTTTTCTTGGTCTTCTTGAATTAATTGAAAAACCTTCAGATGTTCCCTTCCTCTTACAATTCTGGCCCTTATCCTTACTTCCCTTCATCTTCTTCTTCTTCTTCATACCCTCATTTTCCTTTCCTTAACCCTGAAAATGGTTCTACAAGTAACACTTTCCTTCATGATCCACTTTCTGTTCCTTATATACCAACCCATAACAATCATATCCCAGAAACACTGACCAATTTGGCAATTGCAGATAATTGTGGTGGTGGCGGTGGCGGTGGTGGTTCTGCAATGCTCAAACAGGATCTTAATGGTTCTCACTATGGAATTTCCTGTTTGCTCACAAAGAAACCAGTGAAGAAAGATAGGCACAGCAAGATTTACACCTCTCAGGGTTTGAGAGACCGAAGGGTGAGGTTGTCCATTGAGATTGCTCGCAAGTTTTTTGATCTTCAAGACATGTTAGGGTTTGACAAAGCAAGCAATACCCTCGAATGGCTCTTCAACAAGTCCAAGAAAGCAATTAAGGAGCTAGCAAGGAGCAAGAACAGCAACAGTGAAGGTGCTAATAAGAGCTTCTCCTCATCTTCTGATTGTGAAGACTGTGAAGTGGTTTCTGGGATCAAGCAACAACATGATCATACTCCAAACCTAGAAGGGTTAGATTCATATGATCACAAGTCATTGATGGGTGGAAGTGATGCTAGTAAAGAGAGGAAGATGAAAAGGGCACAGAAGGAACCTGCTTATTGTGTTAAGGCAAAGATGAAGGAATCAAGGGAAAAAGCAAGAGCAAGAGCAAGGGAAAGGACTAGTAACAAGATGTGCAACACTACTACCACCATTGGAGGAAGGGTGCAAGACTTGAAGAAAAAGTGCCCTGCAACTGAAAACCTTCAAATCATGCACCAATCTCCTCTGGGTAGTGAAGCACCAAGAGATGACTTCAATGTTATTGAGGAATCCATTGTGATCAAGAGAAAGTTGAAACCCTCATTAATGTCTTCTCATCATCACCAAAACCTTATGATCCCTAAGGAAACAAGTTTCAACAACAACACTAATGACTACCACTCCTTCCCTAATTTGTCTCCAAATTGGGATGCTAATGGTGCCACCTCTGGCCGCTCCAACTTTTGTGCCATAGCCACAATGAACCTCTCCACAGGTATGTGTGTGTGCGTGTGTGTGTTTCATGAAACATGCTGCTAATTACACTTCTTGAAACCTAAGATTTTGAATATGATATTATATGTACAGTTCTAAGTCTTAATTTTCAGGGCTCCAAATCTTTGGAAAGTCTTGGGAGGAGTGCACCAATCCACGTCTACATTAGTATGTTAGTTTTCAGTATCATCTGATCTGAATGAACTCTCTTGTGCTTTGCCAAGGAAGCATGAAGGCATCTTTCTGTGTTTTTTTTCACCTGTAACTTTTCTGTCCTATATTCCCTTTGGACAATGTTAATTTGTACCTGATCTTTTGCTCATGGATCAGACATTTGGGACAAAGGGTGTATTATTTCTGACCAATTGTGGTTGGCATTGTTTAATGCCAATTAGTTATCAAGAACTGTTCCTTCTATCTTATTTTAATATTTATATATATATTTGGTTAATGTTCAACATTGACTAATATATTCTATGGTTAAAATTTTTTTTCAAGCAGTTTTATACAATGTTGTAAGAGGATGTGGTACAGAAGAAAATTCTAGATCTTTCAGCTTCTGTTTGCAGTGGAGCTATAGATGCTGGGCATGCACCTTTGATTTTAACATTATTAATCAGCCTGTGAGAAAAATTCTATTTTAAAAATAAGCAAATAAGTTACTCATGTAAATATACTAATTTTTAGTATAAAGAGATTACATATGGATGAAACTCAAATTAAATATGAAAGAATAGAAGTTAACCACATAAAAAAGCACAACAGATCCAGGAAAAATCATACAAGAATGTCTAAATCCTAAAGTAATATAGTTCAAGTTATGGTGCTTTTTTGTGTCTTTCAGAATATGGTTTGCTTTCTCTCAAACATAGCATTTTGTATTAAGTAGCAGTTTGAAATTATAATCTGATTTTTGTTGTTGCCCTATGAAGTAAATTTGATTGTCTTGCTCATTATGATTTGATGGTTTGGTGCAATGTATTAATTTGCTAAATGCATAGACAGATTAAAGTATTAGTTTAAATTCATATTTAAACATAGGAATTATCATGGGTATTTTTTATTTTTTGGTATACCTACTCTAATTACCTTTGAGGTAAGTCGGCCTTTGATATTTTTATAAACTTCAATTCTTTGAGACTAATCCCGAATCGAGATTTAATCATAGTTAAAGCTCATCGATCTTCATCGAAAATATATTTGGTGAGCAACGACAGACCTACATATGTGCCGATGTCTGCAATTACAGACATTAATTTTTGGTGGCGACCCGTTCTTGGTGGCGACCAACATCTATATCCTAAGTGTTGCATTGCAAAACAGGTATATCTCTCACACGGATTCACAATTCATTTAGTAATATATAAATCAATTTTTTTAAAATAAAATAGTAATAAATTATTAAATAATAACTTAAGCTTTTCTATGCTTAAAAAATTAAACTTATTTTGAATATAATCATTCTATTGTAATATTTTATTTGACTCTTGATTATTATTTTTTTATGTTAAGTTGATTTTTTTTTTAATGCATTTAAAATTTTTATTAAAAAAAAAATTTGGGGTGCAACCCCTGAACCCACCACTAAGTATGCACACGCAAATACAATTTTTTGGATCCGCCACTGTTGGTGGGAATTGAATCTAGGTTATCTCCCTATCTACTCAGTTATTTCTACTCATATGTACCACTGATAGCATAGCAATGATTAATTGCTTCTTGTACTTATTTGATACAGCATGCATATTAAGAAGCTTTTTCATTTTTTTATATTAAGAAGAGAAAGAGTGATATTTTACATTACTGAAAAAATTTATTTAAGCTTGCATTTTTTCCATCTTTGAAGCTTATGTAAGATCAGTTGGGTGTCTCAAATGCATATGAGTTTTACCACCTCTTTCTTCCTAATGATAAATTGAATTTCTTAATATATATAGTATATTGCCAACTGAATTTGAACAATCTCAACTAGAAAAAAATTGTATTAATGGTGTGATTTGCACTTAAGAGTCCATGCATAACAATGATTTTTTTTCCTGCACAGCTTTATAAGAATCAAAAGTTATTTTTTATTTTTTAATTTCTAAATTATATATTAGGTTGATAACTTCAACAAATAAAGTGGCAAAGATATTAATATTGTTGAAAAGACAGCGTTTGAGAAGTCATTGATAATATGATTTCTGTAATGTTTTAGCCTGAATTCCCTTTATTTGTTCATCTATTATTTTTCTTCCCAATGTATGATTCTAAATTTGCATTGGTAACGACTAGGCCTATGATTGACAAACTAAGATGTGGCTATTAATTAAGGAACTTGAAGAAATTCTTGTCTTTGGTTGTAATCCTTCAAGATTAAAGTTTAAATAGAAACTAGGTTTACATAGATCTAATCAATAATTAAATAAATGGAATAACTTATCCTTGTATTATATATATATGAGCATTGAATCACAAAAACAAATGTGATGGAATTCATTTTCATAAACAAGCTTTGCATACATTTTGAAATTTATGTTTAGTTAATTTGAGCATCTGTATTGATGAAAAGATTATCTTCTATTGGAATCTTTCTCTAAAGGCCACAGTTTGCAACATTTTTACAAGTCTCTTTACAAACCACTCTCCAGTTAAACTGAAACCCCTTTACTTAAGTATGTTCTAACATGGACTAGATAAAGGAGTGTGTGTGTCTATATATATATATATATATATATATATATATATATATATATATATATATATATATATCAAACTGCATGAGATAACTTTATCTCCAACTATTAATCATAACCGTACAAAGATGAATCAATGATGATAAAGGAATAGAGAGAAAAGTGAAATCATAACCATTCAAAGATGAATCAAGTAATATAAGAAAATAAATAAATATAATGACGTAATTTTGGGGGTGGACGGAGATAAATATATCTCAAGCTGTTTAAGAAATATTTTTCTATATATATATATATATATATATATATATATATATATATATATATATATATATATATAGGATTTATTGCTTGTCTCTTGTGACGAGATATAAGATTTTGTCCTGTCATCTCTTTATAACTATTTATTCTGAGCAGTACATAGTTATAATATTAAAAAAAAAAAATTCATAAATTTTTTATTAACTTATCGGGCTGATGTGTAGAGAAAAAAAAGTAACTTGATTGTTTGATTCATTGTATTTAAAGACAATATAAAGCAACAGGCTTAAAGCATTTCCATGATATCGAGCCCAGTTAGGTTCAATCATTTTAAATTATGATATCACCTTTCGTATCATTGAAAAGTTCAAATAGATGAACGATATAAATAATGGAAAACTATTTCTATAGTTGTGTTAGAAATAATTTATCTGCCAAAACATAAAAATCAGACAGAGAAACTATAAAGAAATAGTTTCCCCTATAAATAATGAGTAATGTTACACACTCAGGCACGTGATTGGTCCCAACGACAATATTCTGGTAGGTGCCACTGTAATATTCTAATGGCCTACACAGAGTTGTATTTTTGTGTTTTGTTATTTGGAGTGTGAAGTGTAGCATTACTTGTTAATAATGGAGAGAGGGAAATGAAATTTACAATACATTTGAAAATTGGGCACCAATTATATTGGTATAAGAATAATAAGTCGTATTCCAATAAAAAAAGAAAAAGAATAAGTCTTACAGTTTATCAAAAAAAATAAAATAAGTCTTACCTTCATTCTTAGTCATTGATTTATTTATATTTAATTATTCACATAAATAATAAATTAGAGCTGTTGAATATAAATAAAATTAACTGTAAAGATTGACTATATAAATTACACTGATGTATAAAGATCTGACCCTTTGAAAACAAGATTGAGAATATAAATTACAATGATATATAAAGATCTTACCTTTTGAAAATTAAGAGAAAAGGAGGGAAAATGATATATAGTCTAAACAATATGCAATTAGAGATTTATTCCATTACAGAGGTGCCATCTAAATTATCTATTGGTCCCTTCAATTATAGATTTTCAAATTTTCTATCCTCTGATCTACTTTTGTTCATAAATAGTAGAATCCCCATTCGCTACTAACATTTAGGACCTTTCAAGGTAAGTTAAGAAGGTGGATAAGAATTTGCTATACAGTTGTTGGACAATATGGTGGAACTGATGGCAAGTTGGAAATTCATTACTTGTAGCTTGAATTTTAGGTCAATACACTTTATTGCTGGATCTGATGATTTTTGTTGTTGGGTATTTATGGTTTACAACATGTGTTTCTTTTAAGCAACAATTCTTTATTAAATGGTCCTACTAGAACATGCAAACCTTAAATCAATTCTAGACTTACAGCTATATATTTAATCAAACTGACCTTTTTTCTCTATCCTTTTCTTCTTTCCCACATGTCTTGCTTGTATAGGCTCTTTTATACTTTTCCTTAATGGTAAATTCAAGGCACAAACTGTTAAACTGTAATATTAGTTCATTTTAACCATTTCATCTTATTCGTCAAATGTATATAAATTTATGATAATTTTAATAATTAGGGTGGCAATTAAGTTCCCAAAAACTCAAAAATATAACTTAAAATGACTCTCTATGGTTAAAAAATATACAATGACTCTATAATCTAGGATCTAAATTGGACACTAGACACAATTAATTAATGAGTGGTGTAAGGATGGAACACTTTTTTGTTGTTGTTGTTGATAAACTACAAGTATATAATCTTCGTGGGAGGCAATCCTCTTCGAGTCGGAACCTCTAAGTCATGGCGTGGTTAGCTCTTCCAAAGAAGATTTTTTGCATTCACAATCTAAGACCTTGCTTAAGCTTAATCAAATATGTATCATTTGAACTAACCCCCTTTAGTTGTAAGGATAGAGAAACTTTTCGCTCATTTTCTCTCTATTCATTTCCTTAAAACGTTTTGATCATTTTTTTTTCTTTATTTTCTAATTTCCCTCCCATTTAAGCATAGCATAAAGCTTTTAAAATTAAGTTCATTAAAAGCCTCAACAAACATGATTGAAATATGAAATACTTTTATTAAATATTTTTTATCTAAGGTAAATATAAGAAATGAGGTGTCAACCCATAAAGAGGATGAAATGATCAATATACAGTTGGTATGAGCACAAGCTTGATAGCTATGGAGGAGAAGCATCAGAGTCCCTTCTTTACTAGAGAAAATGGGGTATTTATAGGGAGATAGAAGATTAAAAACATAAACCAAGGCCATTTAAATTT